CTCTGGCTGATTTCTGGCTGTGAGGCTGGAACCCTATTTGTTCAGCCTGCAACACTCCATTTGTCTCCTGCTGGCTTGAACTTGGCTCCTTGACCTTCTGCTGACTTGAACTCAGTTCCACCTCACCCTGATGGAGCCAGCCTGAAGCTACTCTGAGTTTCGAGCTCAACTGACTCTTCTCCAAGATGACTACCAGTCAATTGCCCTCTCCTGGGGGACATCTGACCCTGAATAACTCACCAGTGACTGCAGTCTGCTGTGGCCACTGCTCTATTCCACTAGTGTATTTCTCCATGGAGCCCTCTAGAGTTGCCAGTGGTCACGATGTGTCTGCAGGTTCAAGCTACCCTTCCCACACAGTGATTCGGGGTTCAAGGAGAAAGTGCTGCTTGCCACCTCCTTCTTGTTTGAAGACTCTCTTCACTTTCCCCATGAGCTTCAACTCTGGCTTCATATCCTTGCTGGGTCCTAAGAAACCAATTCCTTTCTTCTTCTCTTTCTCACACTGCTATATCCCAGTGTATGGAGCCCAAATCTTGGAGAGGCTGTTTCTCTTTACCACTCCATCTTCCCAGAAGTCCCTGAGTGATTTTAAATTCTCAGTTTTGCCTCAGCTCTCAGATGTTAAAAGTTTCTAAAAATAGCAGCTGCATTGCTGAGTTCAGCAACATATTTGCCATGGGCAAGGGATGGGATAAACTTCTGGGGAGGCACTGCAGTGTCAGAGACAGTGGGTCAGGAGAGGGAGAAAAGGCAGCACTTCCAGTGACAGCAGAGCTCACACCCCAAGCCTCAGCCTATCCTGACCTATCTCGCAGGACTTGCTGGCCTTGCCTCCCCAGTTCTTTGTTCAGGACTGCAGAAACCTGGAAAGAATCCCACAGGACCCTCCATCCAGTACCAATCCCTCCCTCAGCCTCTACACCCCAATTTCTACCCTTCCTTTGGAAAATATGTGGACCCAAGACGCTACTTGTTTCTAGACTTAATGTTCATATGGTTAGCAACACCAAGTGTTTTCTTATTTTTGTTCTCAGTACTGGGGATTGAAACCAGGGCCTTCTCACTGAGCCACATTCCCAGCCCTCAGTTTAGTTTTTATTTTGAGATGGAGGTCTCACTATGTCACTAAATTGTCTAGGCTAATCTGCAACTTGTAGTCCTCCTACCTCAGCTTCCCATAGTGCTGGGATTGCAGATTGTACCACCATATCCAGCTTGTGTTGTTTAAAAAGTTAAAACTTGTTTTACATTTGAAGTTGTAGATTCTTTAATATTAACTTTTGATCTTTATTTGACCATCATTTTCCAGAACAAGGGGCTAAACAATTGTGGATTGGTCTTCTGTTCCCCACAGGAAACATAAGAATGTCTCTTCTTCTTCTTCTTCTTCTTCTTCTTCTTTTCTTCTTCTTCTTCTTCTTCTTCTTCTTCTTCTTCTTCTTCTTCTTCTTCTTCTTCTTCTTCTTCTTCTTCT